GAGAAAGAGAGAGAGAAGGAACCCGGAGAAACAGCGAGAAACACGCAACAAAAAAAAAAAAAAAAAAACGAAAGAAGGCAAGAAGGTTTTCGTAGATTCCTCGTGCGTTGTTTTGGCAGCTGCTGCGCAGACTTCCCTCGTGAAAACAAAATCTCCGAGATCATTTTCCGACTAAGAGAGGCACTCACGCCCAGCTACAGGATTGTTAGTATTGTACACAGTCAAACGTTCATCCGAGCATTAGGCTAGAGCGATTATGCACCTAAGGATTTGGAAGGAGGTGATGATTTAAATGCCAAGAAGGACAGACGATTTCGGAACTGGGAAGGCGAGCTATTTGAAACGCTGTCAGAAGGAGCCTACCGATTCGCCTATACGTATTACACTAGAGTACGTTATGAGCGCATGTTCATGTAAGACCCGTTACGCACGTGTAGCTGCAGGAGCCTTGCGTTTCAAAGATTTTCTCAAACTTGCATCGAGCTAAATTTATAACACTCGCAATATCATGGTCGTGGTCATCCCCAAAGTAAGGCCTGCGTGTCATGGCGACGGCCGGATCCTATACTAATTTTTAATATGGGCACATTTGTTTTCCCGATGTCGCGGCATTTAGTGTTCCGTTAGTATTTGTTAAGATGTGTTACATTTCATGTTGCTCTTATATGCGTTCCGGGTAACGCCTCTGGTAGCTGTGTGTTTGGATTCCTGAATCTCAGATACTCCCAACACAAAATGTTTACTTATGCCAACACTGGCTCAGCAATGAAAGTGATGATGGCGGTGTCGATAATCAATGTTATAATCCGAATATCTTTTTTTTAGAACGGGTGTGTGCTTACTGTTTTCATTAGTTCTAATTTTCTAAAGTGTGCCTTTTTTGACACGAAGCTAACATCGCAGGAAATTCTGTCTAGCGTCTCTCACCAACTAATCGTCGATCACGATGGGATTAAGCCAGTGAACTTGTTCTTTAAATGGGTTTGCATGTTGAAGGTGGGTTTAGAAGACTGGTTTAGCATTACAGCTGCGGTGACTAATAATACGAACTGGTAACACCTTTTATTATCAAGTATATATACACACACACACACACACACACACACACACACACACAAAGAATAATAGCTCTAACATTTTGCGAACCGCAGCCTCGGTTTCGTTTCAACCTACGTATGCATATTAGGTCTATTCATTTCGTTTTTCTCTTGTTAATGATTACTCTTTTTTTCCCCGGCCCTCGAGGCTGCGTCATATCGCTAATCTGGCCCCATAGTTAAAATATTTCGAGACCCCTGCTCTAGCGTAAAGGTTCTGCACCTTAGCGTTCGAAAACCTAGTCGCGTCCAGCGTTGCTCTATCTACCTTTTCACTTGACATGACCCGCCGGAGTGACTCGGATGGATTCATTCGAGTAAGATCTGGAACAAAGCCCTGGTGTAGGCAAACGCTAACTGGTTCGCAAACAGCGTTTCGGTCCATACTACCTTACGAAAGACGGTTGAGTGCTGTGCGACGAGAAACTGAGAAAGAGGAGGACGACATTTACTATTGTGACTTGAATGCACACTCGTCGAGCGGGAAGGTAATCCGCGCTCAAAGGGATAGGCATTAGTGTCCCCTATGGTCGATTGTAAGGTGAAACGAACTATAACTAAAGACGCTTCCTTCGGACCTCCTGCTCTTCTTCGAACAAAGAGCTATCCGTACCCCATCGTCCGCTGTTCACAGCCGTGTGGCGTGCCGCCGTCTCGGTCAGCGTTCGCGTGTGTCCCCGAATCGGCCCGAGAGAGACCGGCGAAGTCGAGCCCGGAACGCGGGGAGCGACCCGGTCGCAAAGAGACGAGGTAGGCAGGCAGGGCGGAGACGGCCATCCATTAGACGGGCCAAACGCCCGGAACACGTGTGTGCGCGCCGTGTATTCCTTCCGGCGGCGAGAGATGAAAACAGGAGGTGCCCGGTTGTTTTCGGTGCCCTCCGCACAATGGACGCAGAAGAACGGAGCAGCAGCCCTGGAGGGGTAATGGATCTCCGTCGTCGGTTCTTGTTCTATGCGGCTTGTTCGGCTCGCGTGCTGTTGAATGACTGTTATTATTTAGGGGGTGTATCGTTTGTGGATTCGAGAAAGCGTGGCAACCGGAGCATCTCCGTAAAAGTGACCGCTTCTCGTTGCCGTTATGGATCGTTGAAGGCGGGAGAACGGCGCTTCGCGTCGTCGCGTGTCGGGGAAGGGGGGACGCGGGCGACGAACAGTCAGAGACGCGAGACCGCCGGAGATCTGGCACGCGTGCATCATATGGGCGCCAAATTGGGCAAATTAACAATTATAGAACGAATACGTTGCCGGTATTTCGGTACACTGTGGGCTCGCTCAAGCCCCCCCCCCCCCCCCCCCCCCCCCCCCCCGGAATGCGATTCACTTACTCTCAAACCGAGAAATCGGGATAACTGCGTCGTCATGTCACATGACGTCACGCAACACCGTGACGTTTAAGTGAGAATTTATTCGTTAGACAACACCCGGAGTTCCGCAGGGACACCTTGTCAATACCGGCCGTAAGAGAAAAGACAGAAAACAAAAGCACTTTCTTCCGGATTAAGTTGCGTTGAGTATTAATAAATAACATTGAGCCGTGCACATTCACATAACGGCGATTAGGGCTACGTGATTTAAATTTCGCTTACGCGATTTCGTGTGCTGACCGACAGCCTCTGCGAATATCTTAATCGTTCACATGCACCGGAAAGCGAATCTGTCTCAACAAATTCGTTTCGTAAACACTAGTCGCCGAAGGTTACGGAGAAAGAGTGAGGAAATATGTTTGAAACGTGACGCACCCGAGGAACGCGCCTGTGCTATGGTTGACAAATAATCTGAACAATAGCGATCGAAATTTAAAAAAAAAAGGAATGAAATCGTTTTATGGTTTCTTTTAGTTGACCGAGTCACAACTTTAATCATATTTTTTATAGACACTTTTTTGATAATTGTAGTATTCTCCGAATTCTCGATTCCATGAACTAACGATTTGGATGAGTCGCTGTTATTCCTGGCTGATACCTCTTGAAATTCACACCTTTCATGGGTATCGCAAGCGACTATCCCCTCACATGGAGGAACAGCGGATCGTCGCCTTTCTCAGAGACTCACTTGAACCGAGTGACCCTTCACCACATTCCCGGTTTGCTTAATTCAATTTGGAAGTGCGCCAGGGCCACCAAAATTGGTCGAGAGATGGGGGAGAGGGTTTGCGACAAGGAAGGGGAAAGGAATTTTGTTTTATTCTTTAAGTGCTTATTTTTCAGCAAAATAAGACTATTTTGTGAGTTTGTCAGTAACGTTGTGTCGGCTAAAGTGGCTCTCCCGAATCATGCCGCCGTCATCAACACGCGCTGTTAGAGGTTGACTAGATCTCAGTGATGTGGACGTACGGACGCTTATACCGCTGGGCAATCGGGAGCCTTCTCGAAGCGGAATATCCAATAATAGTCGCATTTCGGCCAGAAATCATCGGGGTAAAAAAAGAAAACCAAATCGGCAGAAAAGCGCGAAAGACAAGGAACCGTGCCATTCGGTCCCCCGCGCGCGGCGACTGGTTTGTCGACAAGTCGTAAAGAAGAGACATCTTTTACATCACCTCCCTTTCTTCGACTTCCTTCCTCAATTTCGCCAGCACCCTACCCGCCTTCCTTTTTTTTTTATCTCTTTCGCGAACGACCGAAGCCGAGTGCCACTTGGTCGTAATGGCCTCACCGGAAACCGGGGAAACAAACAAAAGCGGCCAATGAGATAGCTCGGCCTGCGCTCCTCCGTACGGCACGACGCCAATAAACAAAGCCAAAGGCAGCAATGACTGCCGCGTACCCCCGGCTTCCCTCCCTTGTTCAACCGTTTTCCTTTCGTTCAACGGAAAAAGAGGAGGGAGATAAAGGTCCGACGAAACGGAACGGCGGTGAGGAGTCGTCATCGACGTGCCGCTCCGTGCCGGGCACTAGGTGGCGCAACCTACCGCCCGTTATCAAGGGTACAGCCGTTAACATACATCCATCAATCCTGCCATCCATCCGTCTCTCCATCCGCAAGGCCATCGCTTAGAAAGAAGCACGGCCTGGTAGATGTATGTTCACCACACGCTGCCAGAAGCGTCGCGAACTGCGGAGGTTCGAGTGGAGTTCGACTAATATGCGCATGCGAGGAAATTGTGGTCAAGTTGAGACCGAGGAGAGGGGCAATATTTGTTGGGTGTATTGTTTTATTGTTTCAAGTTATAAGGCTAACTAAAGTATTAGAAGTGCGTATCTTTTCTTTTATATTATGGGAACATCGTTATCCATTGTTTGTGACATCCTATAGTCACAGGATGTCACGGACTGGGGTCGAAAACGCGGGCCGGATTGCGTTACACAACCATGATTCTTCATTGCTGCGTGCGCAAACGGGCTATGACATCTGATGTACAGAAGAGGTTCGTATGCATGCCTGGATATAGAGACGTGGTATTCTGGCTACGTAGTTTGAGAGCTGCAGGTGATACAAGTATGCACGAACAAAGCCTGAAACTTAAACATCATAGACAGAAACCTGCCTATGAACAAAGTCATAAGGCTTTGTTCATAGGCAGGTTTTTTTACTTCTCTGGGCTCACATCGGCTAATTGTAGTATTCTCCGAATTCTCGATTTTTACTCTTCTGGGTTAACATTATCACAACCACACCACAAGGGATCATTGCCTTTCTGGAGATTGCGGTTCCACTGTCGGTTTCCGGATCTACATCTTCAGTTGCTCGGTATCCGGTTGATGCGGGGGAAGTTCGGTGATGCTGCAACACCCCCTAAATTAAGAATTCTTTTCGTTGCTTTCTCAGACGGAACCACCGTTCAATCCCTACCGCTCATGTCGTCCTCGCGAGCCGCCACTGCGTGGTTCGGACGATCCCAGGCCAAACGGCACATCGACGCGCGAACCGCGCGATGTGGCTTAACATGAAAGGGACTCACCCGCTTCGCTGTTGTTGTCCGTGCTCTGCTGTGAACTGGGTTGCTGCGGCATTGGACCGGGCGTGCCCGCAGAGCCCGTCGGGGAGCGCACGTCGTCGGCCGTCCCGTACGAATTGAGAGACTGCGATGGAGGACGCTGCAAAAAGCACACGGCAAGAAAATCACGTCAGCAAGATCGGATCGCGCATGTACTATACGCCAATGTGCTCTCTACAAAAACAAGCCGACGTTTGTTCACACCGTGGGGTCACTCTTGAGTAGAGACACAGATAATACATCATCCAAAAGAAAGTCCGAGGCGTGATTCATCCTGGCGTGTATATTCGGACATACTGATCGTAGTAAAAATGTCGTCAGACATGTTCTAGGAACACACATGTATGTGAAGCAATCAGGCTTGGAACATGTATTGAGGCTTGTCCGTAAATAACCTCTTTCACACCATGTCTCCAGGGACACTCAGCGAGACAATCGGCGAGATCTCTGACCGTCGTGTTTGGACACCCTGCTGTGAGCATCTGCGCGTGCGTGGAAGCCAGATTCGCCTAAGGTGAAGAGACTGCGCATGCGTATATACTAAAGACAGCAGCGTGACGCGCGGAGTTCCGCGTTCGTTTAAATATGTTAAAACTTCCGAGCAAGCACCTACCCACCATGTGGAGACAACCTTGAAGAAAAAAAAAAGGTATCCCACACTGCCTGGTGATAGTTAGGGGAAGAAAATTGGCTTAGGAGGGCGGGAGGAATCATATGTTTGTCTTTTTAGAATTATGCTAGGTGGTGCAAGCTACCGCCCGTTACAAAGGGCATAGCCATTAAGATCCATCCATTCATCCAGAATATGCGCCATGCTATACTTCGTTTCACCTTCAAGTCTAGACGAAGCCGACGCTACGAGATGACTGGATCAATCTGAGAGCGTCAAAAGCGCACTGTCATGGTGCTCTTCAGGCTGATGCACCGCGTTCTATCATCGCTGAACCAACGCGTCCTGCTGAACTAATCGTGAACAGAAAAGGCTTAGTGACTTGAGCTTTTGACGCTGTTCGATGGGTCCCATTACCTCGTAGCGTTGCCTGCGTCTGGACTTATAGAGGCCGACGACCAGACTCGAGATTCTGCAAGGCAGAAGATCCTCGTCACCATGGGAGAGGAGGAAACAGGCAACAATGGACATGGTAGAAAGGGGGGGGGGGAGAAATGGAAGCGAGGGGAAAGTGGAAAGCGCGAACTGGTCGCCGGTCTTTAAACTGATTTGAGGTATATGTATAGGTCCATGAGCAAAAATGCCAAAGGGCACACGATAGGATGTGCTTCACCGCTTTGCGCCGGAGTGCCCGGAGAAGACGCTGATGCGGGGGAACATGCTGATTAGCATGCCGGAGCACGGGTCTATATAGCTCAGTATATGAAGTATATTTTGAATATACGGGCGTTCCCGAGAAAAGAGAACCGTGTTTTCTGGACAGGGTAAATGAACTTATGTATAGCAGAAGGCTCACATTCCGTGAGAATGGAACCCTAGCGGTTGTGATAAAGCGCAAAAGTTTTGAGAACATGACGTTAAACTGAACCAAAAAGGTAATTGAGAAAGACAACATTTCTCCATGAGCTGACGTCCACCTAAACCTAGTTTCGTCGAAACAAGAAATTAGGCTGTGGGCGCTTGTATACATCTGTTTTAGGGAGAAAAAGAAAATCTTGTCAGAAATTAAAAGAATATTCTCTCTCAAACTGACAAATGTTTTTTCACTGATATCAATCCCACATGCGTCCACAATGTCAGTTCTAGTTTTGACGAAACTAGACTTGGGTGGACGTCGGCTGATAGAGAAATTTCGTCTTTCTCAATTATATTTTGATCCAGGTAACGTCAAGCTCTCAAGCTTTCGCGTTCTATCCAAACCTTTAGCGTTAAGCCTTATGCGATGAGTAGTTCCTTTACCCGGGCCGAGAAACATGGTTTTCTTTTGTCGGGAATGTCCTGTAAATTTAGTGTACCTCGTAACTTAGCCTTGCGGTCCATGCTTTCACCCAGTCTGGCAACTAAGGTCTACATACTAAAAGAATGCGTACTATATACTTTTATTTTAGTCCAACAAAAGTATATTTTCTTCATTTATTTATTTAGGTACTCCTTTATTTATTTATTTATTTATGCTGTCAGCCTTCTTTTGAAGGCCATTAGAGAAGAGGTTTATTAATACGCATATAACTGCAGCAAACATGCCACGAACAAATTATACTCGGAAAAGCGCGCAGGTATTACTACTAAAACGCGCGTGAGCACAACAAAAAGAAACCATAATACTAACTTCAGCCGAAATTTTCACATATAAGAACGTAGTACCGGTACCATACACTCAGTCTTTTACTGACATCCATCTCATTTTCATTGGAAAAACGCTTATTCCCCGTATATACTTTCCAGTGTTTCACACAAGAACAGTACATATTATTAGAATATATTTCTAACGTATCAATCTTTTCTTTGTTTTTCATAGTGGGTTGCCAAAACTTTGTTTCGGTCGCTCACGCGGCTGCATGTCGCAGTCACGACGCCAGCGGGGTCTCAGCCGAGAAAGTGCTTCCCAAGATAGTTGGAGCGCGACGACGATGGGCGTCCCCAAAAGACGCAGGCAAGCGGGCGATAGCCGCGATACGATGCTGTCGAATGCCGCGCCCCTGCCGGAGTGGGAGCTATTTATAGATGGCGGTCGCCATTAAAAAGATTCCCTAAATATCCGAGGCACCGGGGGAGAGCTTATCTCGCCGCGCGGTCTGGCACCAGGCGCCGCGTCTCCGCACGACAGGAGACGACAGGAAAGCGTCTTCGGGTCATAATCCCCGCTGTCCCGGTTCGTCACATCGCACACTCCTCGGATGTCTGCGTGTGTGTGTGTGTGTGTAGTGTTGCAGAACACGCCGGGGAGTGTTCCGCTCTTGCGGAGTCGGCCTTTCGCAGGCTCCGAAGAATCTGATTCTACACTCTTGAGCCGGGGTCAAACACTGCTCACAAGTCATGCAAAACACAGTCTGCAAAGTGCAAACACGAGTTATCACTGCAATATCCGTGGTTCAAATGCCGCGTGCTCAAGTTTTCTCCACGAACTCATTGCCATGCGGCATTCGATGCACGGATATCGGAATGACCCGCGTTCGAATTTGTATGCTGACTGTCCTTTGTATGATGTATAAACACTATGAGTGCGGCTTGAGGTTTTGGTTATAACTTATAACGGGAACAGAAAGAAAAGAGTTCCGCTTAATGAGGAGGAATTGTTCTTCCCCAAACTTATACACGGAAGTATTTGAGATAGTTGTAAATGCCTCATAGTTTATACAACATTGTTTCAAGTAACTGATAATTATAAACAATAAATGAAAAAAAAAATATTTCTGGAAGTTCGAAGTGAAGTGCATGATTAGCGTAAATGGAACGGGGTGAGTGGAACGGCATGTAAGTGGAACGACCGTCCACGAAACACCTACGTACCTATTCAGGTTAAAAAAAGAAATGAAGCGAAAAGAACCGGCGTTTGACGTATAAGCCACGATCCACATTAAAATGTTGACTTGTTTCAGAAAAAGCGCATGTGCAACATTAATTTAGCTATAACATATGTGAAACCAGATTAAAATCGTATCCCTAACACTGAAAGCAGGGAACAATTGAGGTTAGGTTCATTACCAGTCTAATATCATGGATCATTTGCACTTCCTTTCTCTAACACAGGGGAATCGGTGGCCCATCGAGTGTGCTAACGCGCCGCAGCTCGGGCTTGGAGCATATGGAGTTAAAGCTCCAGAACCCCGAGGGATCTCCCGAGTTCAAGCTCCGCCCCTACCCGCTTCGAGCTGGACGAGCGGCACCACACCGAAGTGAGGCCGTGTGTCATCCCTACTGCACGACACGCGTTAAAGACCCCAAAGCTAACAGTGGTACTGCACTGGCTCAACGTATCATCTACAGCCCATTGGGGCTCACCAGACTTTCCTCTGTGAATTCCGTTCGGTGCATGTTTTCAGACAACGGCGGCGCAATCTAGACATCCACAGAACCATAGCCTCCTTCTATCCTTACAAAGCCTGGCAGTTCGACGACGGAGCCATAGAGTGTCCCGTCGCAAATTAGGAGCGTCAAAAAGCATCAAAGAGCCATTTTTCGGGGAACCTGGACGTCAGCGCACAGCTTCTGCAGCGGCGAGAACCCGAAACACACTTGTTCGTATAGGAGAAGCGTGTTTCGGCGTGCCGCCGCAGCGGGGCGCCAGTCACGTGGCTCCCCTCTCATCCGTTGTCTGCCGCTCCACCTTTTCCATTTCGCCGGCCACTTCTCGTAGTCATCTGCCAGGCTTTGTCAGTATACTGTGACAGAACGGCATTCTTTTCTCTGATGTACGAGAACGCTTTGTTTACAAACCAAACCGCGTTTGCCGACGCCAGGTCCGAGCACTACGCCTGCGCAGAAACCAGATTTGCGTGTGGTGATGCGTTTGCGCATGCGTAGCGGCGTGACGTCAGAACCACGAGATGGTGCTTATTCCTTCGTAAGTATCACGTTGAGCGTTTCCGGTGTCAAGTACTGAAGTTGCGTGAATAAACGAACTCCGCCATTTTTTACTCCCTGGAACCTTTCTGGGCCTACCGGGTTGTTGTTCATGAACGGACGCAAAAGCGGGTACACGCAACGAAAGGATGGTGTTCTGACGAAAAATTTGCGAGCAGTTCTTTTCTGGAGGGTTTACATTTTTTGGTTCCTTTCACGATTGTCCTCATGAGTAAACACGGCTGCGAAAGTCAACTCAGTTCCTCAGCCACCGTGCTAGCGTTCACAAACTTGGTGGACGCGTGGACAAATTCAAGCTACGCCCCTTCTGGACTGCCTGCGACACCGAAAATTCCTTAGAAAAAAGGGAGAAAAAAAAACCGGAGGACCGGAAACGAGGTGGTTAGCATCCCCAGACGGTCACCCTCTATAGTCTATTATATAGTAAAAAAAGAATTACGGTTTTTATGTATTTTTTTCTACGCTCCAGAAGAGATTTCGTGAGTGCCGCATTCACCCGCCCTGTCCTTTCCTCTCAGTTAAAAGAAAAAAGGAAGGAAAAAAAAATGAGCCGGAGGCCTACGTTG